TTTCCCTCATTCTGCTGAGTTTCTGGTTTCTGTGGAAGGCACGATCAGTCTTCTGGTGCTTCGAGTGGAAAACATACAATGCTTTGAATCGCCCTTCCGCCTCCCTGTCTTCCGGATCTGCTCGGCTGTCGGCCTGTCTGTGATCACCGCATCCGTACAGGTGCCCTTGTTTCCCGGGGCACTGCCCATGCCTAGCTCAGCCCTTGGTCCCTTCTTTTTTTAAAAAAATACCTTATTTATTTATTTATTTATTTATTTATTTATTATGTTAGAGAGAGAGCGAGGACGAAAGAGATAGATACATAGATGTGAGAAACATCAATCCGCTGCCTCCTGCATGCCCCCTACTGGGGATCAAGCCTGCATCCCCGGCATGTGCCCTGACTGGGAATTGAACCTGGACCTCTCAGTCCATGGGACGATGCTCAATCCACTGAGCCCCACCAGCTGGGCAGCCCTTGGTCCCCTCTTGAGTCTCCAGTCTCTCCTTGTGGGCTTGCCACAGTGGTGTTGGGAGCAGCTGTGAGCCAGCCAGCAAGAGACCAGGCCTCTTCCCTTTCCTGGGGGACATCTGGACAGGGATCACCTCAAAGAGGAGCAGGACACAGCACAGATCATGAAGTCCCAAGCGGCTTGTGGTTGAGCGATAGCCCAAGGAGGTGAGTCTGGGAAAGGGGGGAGGGTGTGGCCCGCCACTGATGCTGGAATCAGGCAGGTGTTGCCTTTGCAGGTGATCGGCACATTCGGGAGCAGAAGCCAAGCCAGCCGGGAGGGAGGAGGAGCAGCAGGTCCATTTCTAGCGGAGGCAGCCGGCAAGAAAGAGGCAGGGCCGTGTCTGTGGCCTGGAAGGGTGGGGTTCAGGGTAGGGGAAAGGAGGGCCCTCGGGCAGAAGTCCGGCACTCTGCCTGGGCTGGCCAGTGCAAGCAAGGTGGCGGTTGTGCTCATGGGGTTCGTGTTCCCTTGGCAGCTCTGGGCCTGCACCCGTGTGGACCCTCAGTCTGGAACGTGTGCCCTCCTCACAAAGGCCTCGATCAGATGCCCCTTCTCGGAAGCTGTCGTTCATTCTGTCAGCAGGGATGCTCTCTGGGACTCTCGGGGCCTTTCGTTTTGCCTCCTCACTGCACGTACCACTTCTACCTCGGGCTACAGTTCCTTGTGTTGCCAACTTATTAGACTAAAAGCTTTTTGGAACGAGATTCAGGCCTGAGGCTCGCACAGTTGTGTGGTCCAATGGATAGTCCTTCATTTCATCAAACAATAAATAAAATACAGTTTCCCTTTGTTAGTTTCTCTGAATCAGCCACTCAGTAGCTGTCACCCTCCCAAGGGCCTGCTAAGTTCACTGTGGTCTTCCCAGGTGCTGCTGAGCAAGTATTTCCAGTTCTTCCTCCCTGGGTGCTTGGACCCCCTCATGGTTTGAGAGGCCACCTGCGTAGTTCTGGGCAACAAACTGTCAAAGGAAAGTGACATGTGCTCCTTCCGAGGCAGAGCGTCGAGGCCACTAGACCCGCTGGAGCTGTTCTCCCTTGGGTGCAGCAACTAGCAGCCTCTGAAATGTTGGCTGCTGTGTCATTCTGAGCCCCCTGAACAAATCCATGAGCAGACCCCTCCCCTTGCTGACCTGTGACGAACATCTAGCATGAATGACAAATAGCCTCTGTTGTTCTCAGGCACTGAGCTCGGAAGGCTGGGCTGGCTGCAGGGCCCGGCCCAGCCAGCCGGGCACATTTACCCACTAGTGGGTCAGCTCTAGATGCCACTAGCGCATGTGATGGAGCTGGCGGATGGGTGACCTGGTGGGTAGGCGAATGCCAGGGGAAGCGGCATCTCTGGGCAGCTGAGTGCATGTCTCAGCAGCTTAGCCCCCGTGGTGGCATCTCACCGGGGCGTGCCGTCACTCAGACGCAGAGGCGCATGAATGGGTCACGCCTCCCCCCCCCCCCCACCTCCATGGCTGCCTTCTAAATTAAGTAAGAGCTGGGGTGAGCAGAGTCGGTAATCCATGAAGTTAGAATGCTCTTTTTAAACGTTTCAGTCTGCAGTCGGATCGTCTTATCACTTGGCCACGTTGTGTTTTATGAGAATTAGCAGGATTCTGGGCAAAGCACCACACTTTCCAGACTGAGGATGTGACCCACTTGCCTAGAGAAGCTTTGGCATCTGGAGGGGCTGCCGATTGAGCTGAACAGCTGAGGAGACAGCCCAGCTGCACCCTGTGTGCCGGGTGAGCCAGCCGGGTGGGCTGTGCAGGTGCTCCCTGGGGCGAACAGAGACAAACCAGCCCTCTCGCTGAACCTCTGATGGGGGAGCGTGGTTCCCGACGACGTGGAACAAAGGTGAAAAACAAAAGCTTTGTAGCTGTGTGCGTGCTGACTGATAAACCTCAGGAACGCACAGTGACAGGAGAAATCAGCAAGAGACAAATTTAATTGAATAAAAACTCCGGCTGTGACAGGGGTAGGGAGATGCTAAGCAGTAATACAACAACATGATCTTTCAAATAACTATCAATTCATTAACATCCTGAGTGTGTGTGTGTGGGGGGGAGTGGGGGGGGGGGTGACAGGAGGCATGTGTCGGCCCAGAAACACGGCTAAGTAGAGGGGAGGGAACTCTACATTTCCAAAGAAAGCATCTTTGTGCAGAAGGCCCTGATTATCGCAAGGTCAGCAAAGCTCACAAAAGCAACGGAAGAGGTTTCCCATGGCGGAGGAAACTAACAAAAGAATCAACCCCGTGTTTTACTTTGTTCAGAAACTTGTAATCATTTTATTCTCATCTGTGGGGGAGAGACTGGGCTAGATGAAGTCGGCAGACGTTCAGGTTTCATTCAGTTGTCCGGTTGAGAACCAGTCTCCCCCAAGGACCCCGAAAGCCTCCTTGGGGTGGGCTCCCGGCCTCTGCAGCTGGTCAGGCTGGTGTGGGGGCTGACCATAATCTGCTCAGGAAATCATTTTCCAAAACCAGGTGCGACAGAGCTGCTCGGGTAGAAGAGGCAAGTCTGAGAGCAGTGACTAGTCTGAGTTTCACGCCGACCACAGCCCCTCTGGAAGGCCAGGGTGGCTGTCCTCCCCGCCTGTGGGTTTTTGATGACAGCTGGATATGCCCGTGAGCTCACCTCTGGAAGGGCCTCTTCACACTCATTTCTGGGCTCCTTACGACCCAGGAAACGCACTGTCCCCTTCACAGCTGCAGGGCCCACAGCACTTGCTCAGTGATTGAGATGACCCTCTTGATGGGGCTCGACGGGAATCTTGTCATGACCTTGGGTTTTTCTCTTACTCTCAAGAGAACATCTAGCTGCAGGGCTGCCTAACTAGGAAGGCCTATCTATCCATCACAAAACATTTGGGGAGAAAACTTATCTTTATACCAGTGATTCAACTGCCTCTAGCCTAAGGCTCAGTGCAATGGGGAGTTGGGGTTTATCCATGTTTACTTTTCTAAGCTTAAAACTGCCAGAATACCCTGTTACCTCATGCCCAATCCGGTCATTTTTAGGACCAGAGAACACTACCTAAAGATATATTAGCAGAGAAACCTGATAACTTGGCTTAAAATGAGTGTTACTTTATTGAGTTGCGGCTCCTAAAGCATGTGACATATAAAGAATAAGACACAGGTGTGTGAGTAGCTTGTAGGTTCTCGACCTTCCATTGTTGAAAGAAGGGGATCTTCAGCAGACATGCCTCCTGGAAGTCACACACACAGCTCTGGGAATCGGCCATGTCTACGTGGACATTGGAATGCAGTGGAACGTCACCCCTGCACATTATCAAGGCTGTACAGAATGATCTGAGCAAATCAACCTAGTTATAGGGGTTGGTGGGAAGGCTAACTCAACAGAAATATACTATGACAATACAGAATAGTTTAAATATTTTTTTTTCTTAAACTGAATTTGGCCTATGGTAAAAATCTAAAGGAAAAAAAAAACAACAAAAAACCCTTCACTACCATGGAAACAAACAAACAAACACAGAAGTACTTAGTAGTTTATAGAACTAAAGTTCGAGATGAATTCTCGCAGAGTCAAGGGGGCTGAAATAGGCATAAGCGGACTTGGTGTCAATCAAGAAGATATTCTTCATAGAAAGATGGGCTCCAACTATTACTTGGATTTCAAAACCCCGCATTCAGAAAAAGACATTTTATCTAGGTTTTTCTTTGAACTGTGCAGGCATTTTAAACAGCTGCTTGATACTTCATGGAATTATAGTCATGTGTAATGCAGAAATCACCCCGGAACACATGTACCTCCTTTACGAAGAAGGTTATTTTCAAGACCAAAGATCCTGTTTTCAAACAAATGTAGTCATTAACTGTGAGGCGCAAGAAAACACATGGCATGTTTAGTTTCAGCACAATCATTCCTTAAGAAAGTGACTAAGTTCCCATGAGGAATCAAGACATTTTCAGACCATGAATGAAGTCAGTGGGGAAGGGGAGCGAGGAGCCCTGCACAACCAGCCGGAGGTTCACCGACATCACAGGGCGCTCGTGTTCAACGTGGGGCCAGGAGTCCGCGGCTCGGCTCATGTCTCACAGCAACGAGCTTCAGAGGATCATCACAGCCTTGTGAGGGCTGCTGCGCGGATTCTCACTCGCAGGCCACGGAGAAGTCGGCCACAGCACTGTTCCACTGCTTCTTCTCCAGGGTAGTGGAGCTTGCTGGAGACTCAAACTTCCGGAAAGTCAAACCACCTTCCCCACAAAAACAACTATTTTACACTGTATTTTATTGAACCAACTTCTGGGCTCTCCACTCTTTGTTTTTGCCTACATTTTTCCCCTTCCTTTCTTGACAGCAGATCCATAAAAAGTTAAAACCACAAAAAACATCACCTTGGGAGACAGAAAAGACTAAGACAGATCTGACCGCAGGACAAGTCGGTCGGCCTCGCCCTGCACAGGAGCAGGTAAAGCCGCCGAGAGCACTGTGCCGCCCTGGCGCGGCGACCGCACGGCACTGTGGACAGTTGAACAGGTGCAAAAAGATCAGTGCTGAGTCCCGTTGTGTCACCGGGCCGTGCAGCTCATGGTGTTGGAGGTGGCTTCGGAGAGGGACACGAGCTCTCGCTGTCGAAGCTGGCGGCTCGGCCCTGCCACTGCGGGAGGGGAGAAGCTGGTTACTGATTGCCAAGGGAACCGACAGGTCAGCTTCCAGAACCGGTCTGGCCCATGCACTGAATTCGCCCTTGTAAGCTTTCTTAAATTTTGCTGTCAGCCATGCAAACACGTAAGGAAACAGCTTTAGGGCTTCTAGTTGGAAATACCTGATTTAAAAAAAAGACCTGCTGCAGAGATAATAAAGCTTCCTCAATGTGTGTGTGTGTGTGTCTTAATGAGGTGCAGTGACTGGGCCATTTCTGAGTGCTTCAGCCATTTCCCACACTGAAAATCGGATTACACTAGCGAAAGAGGCAGTCTGCAGAGTATGCCCACGCTGCCAAGAACCCGGTCATGAATTATTAGCAGTTTGTCTGGGAGCTGTTAGTACAGTTTAAAACCTGATGTTGCTTTAGCTCTGGGCGTTCTTCGGTCTTAAAGCTTCCTAGGGGCATCCGCACTCCACGTGTGAAGAAGTAGAAGTGGAGGGGACGGCAGCCCCTTCCCCTTTTGGGCACCCACCTTTGTTCTCAGCTCTCGTCTCAGGGGCGCCTCCTCCCAGCCTGACCCTAAGCCCCCTGTGAAAGTGGGTGGTGTCACGAGGCACAATGGGGTGAAGGCGAGGGCTGCGGATGGATGGACTTGAGCCATTTAACCCTTGTTGAAATAGGAAAGCCAGTCAGTCATAGCTAGAGCAGTGTTCTCTGGGCCAGGAGCTGATCCTGGGAATGTTCTTGACCTGTCTGGAGGCTGCAAAGTGAGACAGCCCAGCCTTTCTGTGAGCCGAGCAGACCCGACACTCTACTAGGTGCCGCAGGACAAGGCTCCAGAGAGGGGTCAATGTGGCTTTTCTGAAACTGATGCGCAGTCCCTGTGCTTCTCATGAGCTTCAAGGTCTCCACTGTGGGGTGATGGAGCCGAGTGGAGGCTGTGCACGCATCTGTGCACGTGGGGAAGGACAATTCCCCTCCACACAGCCATTTCTACACCAAGCCGGGCCGCCCAAGGAATAGACCACTTGCCATGCAGCAACTCCTCTGGAGGACACGGGAACCACGACGCCGAGGTGACACCCAGGCCTACCGAACGTCTTCATGCTCCCCAGTCTAAGGAAGCCTCTGCTGTCCTTCCCCAGGCTCAGCTCTTCATGGCCCCTCAGTCCCTTACCTGCAACTCTACAACTGACCACAGGCTGGACAATCAGGCGTTGACCACCACCATTACGTGCCCCAGACAGATCTGAGCAATCTTAGCATGCCAGGCCTGGAGGGAGGCCCGAGAGAACACTCTCTAATTCTCAAAGATAAGAAAACAAAGGCACGCAGAAGGGAAGACACAGCTAGCTCGGGGCAGAGCCAGGATCCGAGACCAGGCCTCCTCACTCCCAGCTCAGTGCTCCTTCCACACCAGCCAGCTACCTCTCGGGGTCCACACCGGGGGCAAGGGGGCAGGAAATGCAATGAGACACCTAACCTCTTCGGGTCCACACCAGGTACTTACTCCTAACTCCGGTGGCAGTCTCTGCTCGCAGCATCCACGTGAATGCAATCACAACCGAGGGTTTCCCTGGTGAAATAGTTTAGACAAATAAATGCCTGGTTGTTGAGCCTACTGTGACCTCTGACTCAAGTGTATCTTAACCAAAAGGTGACATAAGACGATGACTAAGGCTTTCATTTTAGAAGTTCTACTCTTTCTGTTATAACCGTTAATGTTGGTAAAGGGTCATTGTAATTACTGGCTTCTGCCCTGGCTTCCCATGCCACCTCAACAGCCTGACTGATAAGGCCAGGTCACTGGAGAGAAAACGAAATGGCTACATGGAATACCTGTTTTTCCTTATATAATAGCCCAAAGAGAAGGTACACGGAACATAACTGTTTATCCAGGGCAAACGAAGAAGGCACACGGGCTCCCCTGCCAACCCCTGATTTTTCCTGTGATGATAAACAGAGGAGATGGAGTTCATGGACAATGAGCAGGTGAGTGATTCCAGGAGGCTTATCACGGTGGCTGGGAACCAGCAGAGACCTGGTCCCCACACACAGAAAGATGATTGTTCCCGGGTCGCTGCATTCCAGGAACACCTTGTATTGTTCTGAAATCTCTGGCAGGTGATGTGAACTTGGCCCTTCAACATAAAACGCCTTGGAGAAGGTGGCTGGCCAACCCAGGCCCCGTATGCGGTGACAGCGGTGACATGCAGAGAGGGAAGGGGGCACAGTTGCTGCCAGGGAAGGGCGCTGGCTGTGGCTTAACCAATTTGTGCTCATGAAAAAAATCCCAGCAGGGAACAAATAAATACCTTTCAGTTAATTTGTTCCCCTGGACTTTATTTAAAAAGCCCCAAACAAGTGAGCAAGTGTGGTGCCCTCAGTTCTCGTTAACAAAAACATAAATGATCACAGCACTTGGAACTGCTCTAAGAAAAGTACAATATAAATACAGAGTGCTTTACAGAAACGATGCCATTTATCTTCCCGGGAGCTGGAGAGTAAGATTTCTTCATGTATTATACAAACGGGAGAGACAATCCCAGTAGCTAGTCTCTTGCTCAACGTCTAGAACAGTACCGGGAAGAATGCAGGCTGAGCTCTGTGGATCATTGAGATAAACGTTCAGGTACAATGTATCACATGAACACAAAGAACGTTTACTCAGTATTAGCCTGGTGGGTTTTCTGATGCATGTTTCTAAAGATCCTTAAACTGTGGGTGCTACAGATGTAGATAAAAATTTTATACAGATCTGTGCTGATGAGAGCCGAGGCTGCCCAGACGAAGGTCATTTTCAGCTTCTTGCAGAGAATGGATCAGCTGAGCACAAGATGGTGGGATTGTGGGTGGGGGAGGGGTGTTGGGAGCTTGGTTTGTGAGGTCAAGAAAAAAGTAAAACCCAAAGGATATAAATCAATTTATTCTCTTCTCGTTTTCCATATACTGTTACTTTCCCTTTACTGTCTCATCAAATATTCATTTTCAAGGGCTTGATTCTACTTTATCTTCTTTCTTTTGTAGTCTAAACGAGCGAGTTGGACTCACTAAAGACAGGACTTGGAATCAATTATTTGGTTTAATTAGGTTGCATTCACCTCGAGGAAGAGTGATTTTCGGTGTACCGTCTCCATGCGGCCCTGCGCCCACCCCAGCCCCAGATTGGCGGTTACCTCCAGTGTGTGTGAACAGCCCAGCCAGATCCAAGGTTAGAAATGGGGTGTAAGGTGCCAGCTTCCTGCCCAGGGGTCACTTAGGGTCAGAGTTGCCTAGAAGAGCAGGCCTGGAGGAGCCTACCCCCCATTTACCAACCAGGAAACTGAAGACCCGAGGACCGTGAGCTGCCCGAGCCCACAGCCTCGGAGGCCTGTCAGCCCGTTCCTGCCGCCCAGGCTGCCCTGATGCTCTGCTCTGCTCCACTCTTACACTCGGCGACAGAGAGACAGAGGCACAGCCCCAGGAGCAGCCAGTGCGCGTGCGGCCGGGCGTCTAGAGTCCTGCTCAGCAGCCGCCTTCCTGTGGGTGCAGGCTAGGTGGAACCTCACCGCACTCTCCAGAGAGAACCTTCTGGAAGAGAGGGGCCAGAGGCTTCCGTGGGGGCTGGGAGCCGGAGGGCCGAGGAGCTGGCTTCACTCACTGAAGCTCCACAGCTATGGTAAGGCCAAGGCCAGCACGGGACAGAAACACGGGGTCTCAGGTGGACAGGACCTTTGTGTCTTTCCTTTACTGCCCCTGGCTGCCCCCAAGGCGCAGGGCGGGAGCTCCCAGAAGCACATGCCTGCCTGGGGGTGGGGGGGGATCAATAGCCTGGCTGCCCAGAGGCCTCTCTTCCACGGGATTCCACTCTCCCACCCCCTCAGCTCTCTGTCTCGGGGGACACCTCACTGCCGGAGCCCCGTGGAAAGGGGCTGTCTGCCCTGAGAAGGAGGGGGACGGCAGGTTCTCTGGGTTTGCTGCCTTTCCGGTGTCCCATGGGGTGGGGAGGAGATCACTCTGTTTTTAGGTGACTCCGCTTTTGAGTGGAGGGCCCATGTGGTGGGAGGGATCAAGCTTTATTTTTTTATTAGCAGATTTTCCAGTTTTATGTAGCTCTCTAGACTTACTTGGCTTGAAGTCCGTTAAGATAAGTGAATGATCACCTGCTTTCCAGGGTAGGATTGGGGTGTGAGGTATGCAAATGAGGCTTACAGCACGCCTGGCCACCCTGCGGCCCCGCCCACTTGAGAAAAGGCAGGCCTGGGCCCAGCACGGTGCCGACCGCAGGATCTTACACTGGTGGAGGATGCTGGAGGTGGGGCAGAGTGACCGTCACTGCGGGGACATATTTCTTGCAGTTGAGAGAGAAATTGTACAGCAAGTCAGGAGGGGCCACGTGTGGAGCCCGGAGCCCTGGGAGCCCCAGGCAGTGCCTGTCCCTGCGCCCATCAGACCGGCCAGAAGAGTGACACCTTACAGCCAGGCCAGCGAGAACCGCATTAGCGCCTCCCTCAGTGGGAAGTGCCGCCTGCCGGCTGGAGACTCAGGGAGCTCACTGCCGCAGCAGAGGGTGGGTCTCGCTCCTCCAGGACCAGCTTGGCCCGGGGGCTGGAGAAAGTGTTTGGGGCTGCTGGGAAGGCCTCCCCACGTTCTTATTTTCCAACTAGAACTCAGTACTCATTTTGCTTCACATCAGAGGCCCTTTGTCAGGCAGCTTCCCACGGTCTTCCTCCCTTTCCTCCCTGCCGGCTGCACTGGGGGAGAAGCACGTGCCCCCAAGGACCTACGAAGGCGAGGCCTCGAAGCAGCTGACGGCCATTCTCCAGCGCGCGCCGCCATGCAGCAAGCATGCCAAGGCCAAGTGCGACCTCACCCACCTCTTTGAAGGATTTCTTTACCTCCACCAAGGAGTGCCAGTGTGCGATGGGCTTCCGCGGGTACGCCAGCATCTCGTTCCAGTGGTCCCTGCCCAGGCCTTCGGCGTTGATGCCCACACGACAGATTCCTATGATCTCATTGTGGCCCACTCTGGGGGAGAGACAAAGGGCTCGGCACTGGGGACCAGACACGCTCTCCGCGAGGGTGGGCCTGGGGTCCGGGACTCTGCCGGCAGGTCTAACTCAGAACCCTGAGCTCTGAGAATGGATTTGGATCTGCATCAACCTGCCCTGAGCACCATCTCTCCATACCCCCAGCGGCTGGGTGTGACTCGCTCACTCAGCAAGAACATCAGTCATCGCTCAGCTGTGTTCCCCGAGCACTCACTATGCGTGAGCAGCTGTGTGGGGAATCCTGCGCCAGGCTTCACTGCATGGTTCCCTCTCCCTCCAAAGGGCGCGTGGAGAGACGAGCCCTACGGCTCCAGGAGTCGGGAAATATGTGTGAGCCAGCTGCTGGGAGAGCAGGGGCCGGGAGAGTGGGCGAGAAGCAATGTCTCCAATAAAGGAGAAACCAAGGAGGGACCTGCTGGGTCGATTGTGGAAGGCCTGAGCGTCCCAGGGAGGAACCAGACAGCAGGCCAATGCGGTTCCCGAGAAGGCGAGCGCACAAAGAAAGTGGTCACGTGTTGTCTGGATGGAGCAGGGAGGGTGTACAGCCATCCCCAGGCAGGAGTGGCAGTGGCAGCCGAAATGCAGGGGACAAAGGCCTTTTGTTTATTTATTTTATGAGAGAGGAGGGAGGGGGAGAGAGAAACATTGATGTGAGAAACATCCCTCAGCTGCCTCCAGCACGCCCCCCACTGGGGGTGGAGCCCACAACCCGAGCATGTGCCCTGACTGGGAATTGAACCGGGACCTCTCCGTCCATGGGATGATGCTCAGTCCACTGAGCCACACTGGCTGGGCCAGAGAGAGGCCTTTTATTTTTTATTTTTTATTTTTTTATCCTCACCCGAGGACATTTTTTGTTCAGGTAGAGTGGGAGGGAGAAAGAGGAAGAGAGAGAGAGAGAGAGAGAGAGAGAGAGAGAGAGAAACATCGATGTGAAAGGGACACATCGAGTGGCTGCCACCCGCACGACCGACCAGGGCCGGGGACAAACTGCAACCAAGGTACATGCCCTTAGCAGGAACCAAACCCGGGTCTCTCGAGACCGCAGGCTGATGCTCTAACCGCTGAGCCAAACCGGCCAGGGCGAGAGAGGCCTTTTAAAGGACAGATCACGGGACTTGGTGCCAGACAGAGGAATGGGAATAGTCAGGCCTGAATTCAGGGGAACTAATGGGTGGAGCTGCCCTGATGGAAATGGAGCAGCTGGGAGGTGAAGCTTGAGTTTCTGCTTAAGGGAATCATGCTCTTCCTCAAACTCCTGTGCTCGCCTTGAGTACATCCAGACTTGAGGCCAGTGGACAGCTGAGCGGCGAACCGCAAGGTCCAAGGTCAATAAGCCCTGGGCTGCATCAGAGACGCAGTGAATCATATCCCACTGGGACCCGCACCTACCGATCGTAATCCATAACCGAGATGAGCAGGCTGACTTGGTCCATGTTCTCTGGCGGAATGTCGAAGATAATGGCCTCGTTGTAGACAGGATTGAGCGTGTTCTTCTTTATGGTGGTTTTCTTCTTCTTCAGTCTCCGCCCATCACAAAGCAGGGACACCTTGACATATGGATCTGTGCGCATGGGGGTGGTGGGAAGGGAAGGGAGTATGTTAAACAGATGTCCTCCAATGCCATTTGCAGCAGAGGGACAGGAGCCCTACCACATCCACTGTTGCTCACCAGATGCTACCAGTGGGTTGTTAAAACAATTAAACCACTTTGAAATTTATGTAGCACACCTGTCTCTGAGGACACTCCATGCTTAATAAATCTCAGAGTTCTTGGGAGAGCACTTAATGGACCTGCACTAATGGGAAAGCTGGCCCCAAATAAGAAGGACACCTGCCCACGGGGATGCAGTTTATGCCCTGAAACTCGGCTCCATAATGGCCGGCTGGCTCCAAAGGGTGGTGGAGTTGAACAAAGGCACTCGATTCCTTTCACCTCGTAGGAGTCCTTTTCTCTGGGGGCTTTTGTCAGCATTATTAACCAAAGAGCAAGGGGGTAAAAATAGAACTTGACGACTCCCTGAGAGGAGCGACGCATCAGAAGAAATGAACAGTGACGATCACAATACTGTCCATGTCCTCCGCACCTGACAAAGGATCCTGAATCCCATTGTCTCGAGAAGCTCATACCCATCCAGCATCCAGAAGAATATTTGCCCCTTTTTCTGCTCCCCCCAAAGCCACGTCCAGCCCATTCTGGGCACTGGTGGAGGAGGGAGCTGTGGCCGGGGGGAGAGGGGGCGGCCTCCTGACATCCAGGGCAGCCCGCTGACAGTCCATTGCTCAGTGGGATCTTGGATTCTCTCCATCCCGTGAGAAGACGTCCCTTTGCTGAACACCCACGGGCCTCCCATCTTTGTCTCTTTAGTTTTCTGAATGGGTATTTCATGGGCATCTTTCTACTCTGAAATTTTCTACTCATCCAAGTGAAGTGATGCCTATTGTACCTCACAGCGCAGGTGCCTCGGTCGCCATCGTAATTGTTATTTATGCTGCCGGCACAGGCAGCAGGAGGGCGGCTCGCAGGTAATAACAGCTTTGGAGACGCGGATGTGCCCAGAAGCCAGAGCTCCTGTCAATGTCCGGTGGGAGCCAAGCAGCCGCTCCCCGACTCCTCGGTTCACAGGTGCAAGCTTCATCGCCCGGGCACCCAGCAGGCCCTCCGGCTTCCTGGGCGTCATTCGGGGGACAGGTGAGGCACACGGCTCTGGGAGAGCGAGACAGCTGCGCCACCTGGTCAGAAACACCGAGCCTCGGAGGCGTCTCCGTAGACGCCAGGTGAGCACTGACCGGTGTGCCGCTGGCAGCTGTGCCTCCACATGGGACACGGGGTTTACGGAGGAACTGGGGGACGAAGCGGTGTCTAACCAACCTGCTGCCCTACGACCCATTCGAAACCTCTCAGAGGGTTTTCAGTGAACAGGGGGGAGGCATTCTGAGAACTGCTGTGTGGCAGCTTTGGGGTTTCGCAGGCTCCATCCCCATGGATATGCCCAGGACAGAGTTCAGGCCCAAGCAGAGAGGCCGGAAAGCTAGTTCCCAAACCTGTTGTTACCATAGCAACTTCGAAACTCCTAAAGGGTGCACATTGCTTTGGAAAGCGTCTTCAGGCTGAGGCTGCTCCCCACCTGCCATGCCTGTTTCCATACATTCCCCCGGCAGACCCAGTCTCCACGTCACCAGGCTGGGAAAGACACGGCAGAGCCACCTGTCAATGGGCCGCTGAGCAAAGGCCTTATTACTGGGTCTCAGCTTCCTTCTCCCTCCAGCCACCCCTACGAGGCACAGTCAAAAATCCAGCGGTGCACGTCCCTTGCAGGAACAAACGGTTGCACCAGCGTCCAAGAGGCTAAGCAGAGCGATGACTGTCCCCTAGGGTTCTCTGAGGCAAGCTTTATGGCTCAGGTGGAATGCTGGCTCCAGACGACCTTGGAGGTCCTTCACTCTCCGGCAGCCTACGGCAGGGGCACAAAGACCAGCAGGGTATTTCAGCCTCCCTGTTACGACAGCCATCGTGATGCAGCATCTAGTATGTGCCAGGCACTGAGCTAAGAGATTACACCAGGTCATTTACCTGTCTCATCAACCCTATAAAGTATTCATCATCATCATCACCCAATTTTGTAGGTAGGGATATTGACATTTAGAGAGATAAAGAAATTTGCCTGAGATTTGCACCCTAATCTGTCTGACTCCAAAGCTCACATTTTTAACCACCGGACTGAAAGTGCTACCCACAAGACATGGCAGAGAGGAGGGAGTTACCCACTCCACACCCCTCCCTGGCACATTGATCCTTACTGCTTTGTATTATTTTCATTGTCATGGTTCCAGTAGGTAGGCTGAGAGAATTGATTCACGACCAGTTTAGATCAAGGAGAACAAAAAGATCCTTGGTTTTAGGTGTCAACACCACATAAATCAAGAACAGACAATGAATAAGCTCCATTCACTCCCTCGCTTGGTCCGACATCAAAGCAGTCTAGGCTGAAGGTAACCTCAAACTCATCCTCAGAAACAGGAGGTCTAGCTTGAGAACCCCTTGGCATGAATGCCCTTGCCACATCTCCCCTGACAAGGTTCCTTAAGCTATAAATTCATTCATTCATTCATTCATTCATTCATTCATTCATTCATTCCTTCATTCAATATGTATATATTTTTGTTAATCCTGACCTGAGGATATTTTTCCATTGATTTTTAGAGATAGTGGAAGGGAAGGAGGGGGGAAGAGAGAGAGAGAAAGAGAGAGAGAGAGAAAGAGAAATCGATGTGAGAGAGACACATCAATTGGTTGCCTCCCAAACAACCCTGACTGGGGCCAGAGATCAAACCTACAGCCTAGGTACATACTGTTCACCAGGAATCAAACCAGAGACCCTTCGGTCCATGGGCCGACGCTCTAACCGCTGAGCCAAATTGGCCAGGGTTATTCAATACATGTTTATTGATGCTTATTGTGTTCTCTCTATTGTTACAGACACTTGATTATAACAATGAACAAAATAGGCAGAAATCCCTGACAAAAAGATGACCCCTGCATTGCAGAATCAAGCTGAGATTTAACACCAGATTCCAAACTCAGGTGGAAAAGGGGGCAATTGTGAGGGAGGCTGGAACTCAGCAGGAGGAGAATCTGTGGCCCCCAACCCTCTGCTGTGGAACAGCCTCGACAGTCACCGCAGTGGCTTTGCCACAAGCTCTCTGTCTAGCACATCAATTTAATTACACCAGAGAAGATAGTGTGGGGACTTGGGTAGCAAAATCCCATTTCCCTCAGCAGCCTGGAGAGTCCTCAGTGAATTTCTGTCCCTGGCATGCATTTATTTTGATATTAAAATGAAATCTATGTTGGCTGTATTTTTGGAGGAAGCTGATTATGTCGGAAAAGGTTCTTCAAGCCCTTGCCCACATCCCGATGCGTGGCAGTAGCTTGAGTGGAAGGGGAGGCACTGGGGGGCCCCCTGGGGTCGCTGTTGGCCTGGAGGCCAGGGGGCTGCAGGGAGAGGGCGGCCAGGATCAAAGCCTCCCAGCGATTCGAAGCTGCAACAAAGACAGTAAGTACTTGGGTGTTTCCCTGAAACCTCATTTTTCGAGACCTCTACCTCCTCTTCTTCAAAAGGCACCAGGCTGTACCTGAGCCAGATGTTTTTAGCTGGGCTGGCCTCTCTTTTTGGCAACTGTGATTACCCTAAGGAGTTTTGCAGGAAATAAATAACTAAGGGATAAGAGGAAAATCTTCCACACACTCCTATCCAAGTTCGAAGGCGCCTCGGAGGAGGCTTTACCCCGGTCATCTGAGTCATCAGGAGGGTCTCTGGGGGGGCTACAGGGAGACCAGCCAAGCCCTTCCGTGCACTTGCTCTCTGTGTGCCGCCCAGACTGCTCTGTGCGCCCGCTCTTAGGAGGCTTCGCCCCATTTCATGTCTAGGGCTAACTGGAGCAGAGGTGGGGGGCTTGGAGGCTCCTGGGACTCAAGCTACCCCGCTGTGATACCAAAACCCAAATACTTTCTCCAACAGCGACTTGAAGAATCATGGCGAAAGAGCAAACCTCTGACCTCACATCCAGCCTGCAGTCTCTACAGCTGCCGCAAACAGGCATTTCCTCGGTGGCGACAAGGACTTAGCTTTTTCCCTGCGGTTCCCGGCAGCTTTCCTGGTGCTGAGGCGGAGGCCGAGGCCAGGAGCCCTGCAGGAGAAACTCTAAAACAAACGCACTTTGTCGGTGGCATCGAGCCTGTGACTGCGTCTGAGGGCTGCCATAGGCGGAGGGGACCTACGAACACTCCCAGCTCAAACTCGACATCACCCTGGGACGTCCTGGGGCCTTGTATAAACTAGAAAGAGGTTCCTTGTTTCTCCTACATATTTGCTTCCTATCCCCATCCTCCTCCAAGAGAAAGAATATTGATAATAGCTAATATCTGCTGAGTGCTTATTATGTGTCTGACACAATTCTACGCAGTTAGGTGAATGAACTCGTGTATCCTTAAAGCAACCATGGAAGCTAATTTTTCAGACTCAGAAACCAAAGCATTACGGTGCCAGGGGCGGCAGAACAGGAATTTGAATCCAGGTGAATTTCCCCCAGAGCTGCTGCTCCTTTTCTAAGAACACTGATGTTCCTCCCCCTTCTCCTTCCAAACTCGAAGGCCCGGGCTGCTGGGGGCTGGGGCAGGAGGTACCTGAATAGCCTGTGATGTCCATCGCCTTGAGGTTCCGACATTTGATCACTGTGAGGGTGAGCCTGCCTGCGGTGGGCAGGTAGCAGAGGGAGAACATGATCTCCCCCAAATCCACGCTTTCCTGCAAAGAAGCAGACGAGAGGTCAGATGAGGGCGCACCGCTCCCCGTGCGGGGCTGCAGGGACCTCAGACCTGAGGGTTTGGCCTCTGCTGGGAGTAACGGCACCCAGGGCAATGGTCACAATGCTGCCTCTTCAGTAGGATCGGTCCCCTTCCATGTCCCTCTGACTCTGGTCCTGGTCCTCCCCTCCTGCCCAGCCTGCTCTCCCCTGCTCACCTTCCTCCGTTCCTGGCCTCTCGGTCCCCCACTCCCGGGCCTGGCCTGTGGTCACGACAGTGGCTTCTACAAGAAACAATTGGCCACCAGGTGCCCCCTCTCCCAGCAGGTCTACTCTGGCCCTCAGCAGTCATTCTTTGTCAGTCCTCTGTCCTGGCCATTTCCCTGGCCCTGGAAGCACCTAGAACTCGAACTTCCAGGCCTCCGCGGGGAAGCATAAGGAGCGGTAGCCCTGGGTGGATGTGCCAGGGCTCGGACACACTTTGTCCTTTCCCTCAGTGTGGTCGTCCTTCAGAAACGGCCCCAGCGGAGCACGGCCTCGCTGCCCCCGCCCCAGCATCAGTGATCCCAATCCCGATCCCAGGAGGTTCCCGAGCAGCAGGGGACAGGAAAGCTTGTCTGTCTGCTGAGCTGAATGGCACCCTGCAGGCTGCGGCTTCTCCCTGCTCCCCACTGGCTGAAGGGGGTGCTGTCACTGTGACACCTCCCCTCAGCTGATTTGGCTTGGGGCTCCAGAGTGGAGGAGGTGGAGGTCAGGGTTTGGGGTGGCTCTGGTTTCAGGGGGGACATCCATTCACTCACTCAGTCAGTCAGTCAACAATATTAACTGAGCGCCTGCTATGTGCTAGGTGTTGCTCTGGGTTCTGGAGATACAGGAGAGAGAAAAACAGACAAAAATCCCTCCCCTCATGGAATTTACATCTTACCAGGATAAAGGACAAGAAAAAAAGTCAGTAACAGTATCCCAGAGAAAAAGTAAGGTGGGAAAGAGGAATGAAATGCTCGCGGGGGAGGCTGTAGTTGCTGACACTTTAGCCAAGCTGCCCAGAGAAGGCCTCCCTGAGGAGGCGACCGCTCAGAAGGAGGAGTCCGGGGAGGCACCAGGTGAGGGCGCTTCTCCGCACACAGAACCGCCCTCATCTGGGAACTCCCAGACACCTGATGTCCGGCCCACCTGGAGGACGACCCAAGCCCCCCACCCTTCCAGAGCATGGGGTCCCAGTGCTCTGCTCCAGGCAGCATGGACACATCCCCCTCACCCCGCCCCAGGACTTTTCTTTACCCCCAGACACCCCCCAATTAAATCCCAGGAGTAGCAAATGGTGAGTCCTCCCAGCTGCCCAGGAGGGGTCTGGCCGGGGCAGGGCTGGGCCCCTGTAGAGGCAGCATCCACGGAGCCGGCCGGCCAAGACCAACACCCCGAGCTTCTGGGCCCCAAGCTCTTCCTGGAACGGATTCGCCTGCGAGGCACTGGGAGGCGGGCCTGGGTCTCCATTCCCTCCGCTGCACAGGCGGTTTCAGCTTAGGGGTAAGGGCTTCCCAGCCCGACACAGCCAGGGCCCTGCCTCTCAGAGAGTGCTCCCTGCGCCCGTCTGTGGGCACCTTCCGGCTCACCCACGGAGCCTCTCAAGGTAACCCTGGCTCCTCTAGACCTGAGACCACAACTTCATCCATGTGTTCAAGTGTCCGTCTTCTCAGATTTACGGAGAACCTGCTAGACACACCACGCCTTGGGGAGCACACAGCTCCCCTCAACACACACACAGTCTGGTAGGATGTAACCAGTTAAAAGGCGGTGCCACACCCTGGCTGGTTTGGCTCAGCGGTTAGAGCGTTGGCCTGCGGTCCAGAGAGACCCGGGTTCGGTTCCCGCTGGGGGCATGTGCCTCGGTTGCAGTTTGTCCCCAGCCCTGGTCGGGTCATGTGGTGGCAGCCACTCGATGTGTCCCTTTCACGTCGATGTTTCTCTCTCTCTCCCGCCCACTCTTTCTGAACAAAAATGGAAAAATGTCCTCAGGTGAGGATTAAAAAAAAGGGCTTGTATCTTGGTTGCGGTTTGGTCCTGGCCCTAATTGGGGTTGTGTGGAGGCAACCGATCAATGTGTCTCTCTCACATCAATGTTTCTCTCCCCCTGCCCCAACTCTCTCTGAAAATAAATGGAAAAATATCCTTGGGTGAGGATTTAAAAAAAACAAAAAGGCGGTGCCAGGATCCCCATCCCGCTCAGTGCAGTCTCCAGGCTTCTCAGTCCCCTGGTGCAGGGAGAGAGACACAGGAACTGGCCTGCGACATGGTGTCGTGGGAGCGTGAGTGACCCCTTGAGCCGGAATCAGGTCCTCAGGGCACCTGGCTGAATGCCCATCTCTGGCAGAGGCACCGAGGTGTGTGAGGAGGCCCCTCGCTCCTTTTGTCTCCTTTATCACCCTCCAGGGCTGTCCCGCCCGAAGCTAGAGAAACCCTTCCAGACCCGGTAACAGCAGTAGGAACCAACAGAGCACTTGCCGCGAGCCAAGTCTTTTGCTCAGTTACTGCAGGTGGTCTGACCACGTCCTGAGGTAGGTGCCCTCACAGCCCTGCTGCAGGCCGGAGAAAACGACTGTCCGGTAAAGTGCAGCCCGGGCTGCACGGCTGAGAGGCTCGGGTGCCGGAGCTCCCAGGATGCTGCTGCTCAAGCACCCTCCGTGGCTCCCCTTGTTCGGCTTCTGGAATCGAGGCCTAACCTCCTCGCTAGCCTGCAGGCTACCTCCTCATCTGATTGTTTTTCTCCTTGCACCATGCAGCCCTGCTCCACACGGCTGGTGTATCTTTGGTCCTTTTTGCCAAAATGCCTCTTCCTCTTACCTTTGCCTTGACAATCCTCTGCGCCTTACAGGGCCTGCAGCCACATCCCCGGCAGCGACCTTCGCCCAGGGTCCAGCCCCCAGAGAGCATCTCTCCCCTCTCCCCTGCAGCACTTTCTGCCTCTGAGCATCTCACAGGCGGCACCAAGCCCCCACCTTAGCCCCCCCCCCTTTGCTGCACCTGTGCCCTGCCACTAGCGGCTAGTGACTGGAGGTCCCTTTGGGGCAGGGGCTTCGCTAACACCTACTTGTGCTTCAGGGGGACCCAGCAGCACGGGGTGCGGCGCAGATGCCCCTGGAAATGATGGTTACCTTTTGGCCACAAGAGCCCTCGAAGGATCAGCTGTGTTCGGGGTAGGACCCCGGGAAGGGATCTGAAAGCTCCCGGGCCCCTCTCAGAGGGGGCGACAGAAGGCTGTGTCACCGTTCCCACCACGGCCACCCTCCAGACCTGGCGTGGAGCTTCCCCAGGCTGTCCTGTTTGGGGAAGTCCAGGCTGGCTTGTTTATGGACTCAGGGGACCTACCTGGGAGATGGGGGTACCTCAGGGTAAACAGAGTTACCTGGGCTCCAGGAACTGCTCTCGGGTGGCTCCCTCCATGGAGGGCACCGACCCGGTGGCCCCCCTTTTCTGTAGGTGCCCTTTCTCAATAGGATCATGAAAGGTGGGGGGCATGCTGGGTGCCGAGTCTGCATTATAGTGTGGAACCCCCACCCCAACCCGTTCGCTGTCCTCCATCGCTGGGCCCAGATGGGCGAAAGGAGTGGGCCAACGTCCGCTGGACCTGGACGCAGGGAGGAATCAGGGGCCAGGGGCCCAAGGCCCGGCCCAGACCCTGCTGTTTGTGACTGGGCCTCACCCAGCCTGAGGGCGGGCTGGCTGCTCTTGGCTCAGTGGGTAAGGGGATACTGTTCCCCTGCACACACAGGTAGCAGAGGACTGGTTATTCGATAAAGGAAAGTAGGCTGATTTTGAGTAAAGAGAGTGACGGGGGCTAAGGAAGCGGAGCGTCGGCATCTCCTGGTAGCCACGTTGCCTCCCTGGAAAGCCGGGTCCCACGGGTGGCCTTGCAGGTCCCCTTCCCGGGAGGTTTCAGCCCCAGGTCTGTGTGCTTTCCCAGCCTTTGTCCTCATTAGGAAGGCTCGAGACTTTGGCTTTGATAAAACCAGAGTGGCCAGGGGCTGCAGCGCAGCCGGTGTGTGATTGCTTTCATTTCTACCTGCCGCCTGAGGGCTCCGACCGGTGGTGAGCTCCCCGCTGCTGGAGAGGTCACTGCTGTCCAGAAAGCGGCAGAGACTCATTCGGCCTCTTGACTCTTAACCTAGGGCTGACCGGGCAGGTCTGAGCCCAGAGCAGCTGAACGTCTTGGCTAGTGCCTGGGAGGGGTGGGCCCCTGAGCAGAGCCCTTTTCCCGGGCTGCAGTCAGGGGGCTGCGTAGTCAAACTTTTAAAGGCACAGCATTGCTCCCGCCGGCTTTCCCGCAGCCCGGCCTCAGAGCTCACTGTAGTGCTTCTCTGCCCAGGCTCAGAGAGCCCCTCCTGGTGGGCTGCCGTGGGCTGCCCAGGCTCAGAGAGCCTCTCCTGGTGGGCTGCCCAGGCTCAGAGAGCCACTCCTGGTGGGCTGCCCAGGCTCAGAGAGCCTCTCCTGGTGGGCTGCCCCCCAGGAAGGAGCAGTCAGCCACAGGGCTCTGCCACTACGAGCTTGGAGACCTTGGGCACGTCACTTCCCATCTCTGGGCTCCAGCAAGGGAGGGAGTTGTACTAGTTGTTCTACCCTTAAGGTTCCTGCCAAGTTATAAAACCAAAGATTCAAAGTGGAAAATCTATCAGCAGCCATCGCCAATTGAGATGGCCCAAGGGTACCCGGTGTCTATTGTCCGCCCCCCAAAGAAAACAGCAACTTGGTTTTGAAATCAAAGTGCTCGGGTTCCTCCAGTCCCCGCCACCTCTAAGTGTTTTGTTCCTCCCCAGGACCAGCTTTCTTTCTCCTAAATAGGCAACGAGTGGCGTCAACGCCTCCGGGTCCGTCTTGGGAATCCAGGCTAGCGAAGCCAGAATACTTCCCCATCTCAGAGAACGCTTCTAGTCTCTTAATCATTAAGTGGCTTGTCTGAATATTTCATCATCAGCAGAAGCATCCGCTGTACTTTCAGGAAAGCCAC